ACAAAAGTCTCTTTAACACTTTGCGGACTAGCCCAACGAAGGGCGTAATGTGGTCCACCAGCCTTATCATTGGTTCCTGACATGCGACTTCCACCGAATGGCTGTTGCCCAACAACAGACCCAGTGCTCTTATCATTGACATAAAAATTTCCAGCAGTATACTTAAACTCCTCCAGAGCCTTCCTGGCCCACTCCTCGTCCTGCGTGAAGATAGCGCCAGTCAGAGCATATGGAGTCGAACTCTCCACGAGTTTCATCGTGTCCTCGAGCTTCGAATCCTCATAAACATAAATTGCTAATACGGGACCAAAGATCTCCTCTGTCATGATACGATCCTTGGGATCCTTCGTCTGGATGATCGTGGGCTGGACGAAGTACCCCACCGAGTCGTCGTAGCCCCCACCCCCGATAATCTCCAGCTGATTAGATTTTTTCGCATGTTCGATGTATCCGGAGATGCGTTTGAAGGCAGCGGCATCGATTACCGCCGATGTGAAGACACTGAAGTCCTGGACATCGCCGACCTTCAAGTTTTCCCTCTCCTCGATCAGTCCTTTTTTGATATCTCCCCAGAGTGACCTCGGCACATACATTCTGCTACACGCAGAACACTTCTGCCCGTTGTATTCAAATGCACTGCGAATTGTTCCAGTGACGACAGACCGAACATCCGCACTCGGATGGACAAAATGATAGTTTTTCCCACCGCATTCTCCCACAAGTTTTGGGTAGTTCTTGTAGACGCTGATGTTCTGGCCCACCTGCGTCCACAATCTGTTGAATGTCGGCACCGATCCCGTGAAATTGATGCCTGCAAGGTAGGGAGATGCGGTGATGGTGTTCCCGAAATCGGGACCATGTGCGGGAACAAAGTTCACGACACCCGGTGGAACCCCAGCCTCACGACAAATTTTAAAGATCGTCCAGTTTGACAAAATTGCGGTGTCGGAGGGCTTCCAGAGGACGCCGTTGCCCATCAGTGCAGGTGTGTATGCAAGATTGCCACCGATTGCTGTGAAATTAAAGGGAGAAACAGCGGCGATGAAGCCGTCCATTCCCCGGTATCTCATGGAGTTGAGAGTTTCTGAAGGATTTGGAGAGATGGGTTTGTATTTGAGGGCGTCTTTAACGAAGTATGAGTGGATCTTGAAGAAGTCGATGAGTTCTGCTGCGGAGTCTATCTCCGCTTGAATGACGGTTTTACTCTGGCCAAGCATCGTTGAGGCGTTGAGCTCTTGTCGATACTTTCCGCACATGAGCTCAGCTGCTTTCAACCAAATTTTCATTCGAGTGTCGATCGCCACTCGCTCCCACTCGCGCTGCGTTTTTGTCGCGACATTTATCGCGCGTTTTATCAAGTCCGGAGTAGCGTGATAGTACTTGGCGATTTTTTTCGAGTGATTATGCGGCATCGGTTGGTACTGCACTCGATCCGTTCGGATTTCCTCATCACCGATTACAATGGGAACGTCTTCTAGGGAATTGGACAGACGGGAGAGGGTTTTTTCGAGCTCCTGACGCTCCGGTGAGTTCTTCTTGTAGGTAAGCACTGGCTCGTTTGCTAGCGCAATGTCCGGTGGTTGTGGAGTTGTGATTATGGAACCTAGAGATCTTGCTCCGAGTCTGAAAAGTGAAAGACAAAGTTTTCTGTTTAAGTTTTCTGAAACTTCAGAGGCCATTTTAGGGGATATATTTGGGGTTCGAGGAGATACTAGAGTTCTTTCAAAGCTTTTTAAACAAAAAAATTATGTAGGAAAATTTATGATACTGAGGACGAAATGTGAAATAAAAAAGATGCCCAAGTCCTTTTCTATATGATATGATTATTATTCCTATATTCAGTATAATTATTAAGAACTTTGTTGGGAGTCTTTAATTTTTATTGTTTAGTTCTATTTTTTCATAAAGAATTTTTATTTAAAAATCGACATTTTGTTTGGATTTTCGTATGCTTTCTTTATATATTTACTATTTTCTTTTATTCTGATGATATCGGTACACACTTGTCATGTATTTACTATTGATTGTGAGGTTTGAGGAGAGGGGAGGAGATTGGGATACCCCACCGTAAAGGTCACTTTTACTACGCGATAAGTTATCGTTTCTCGTAAATCCGTGAATGAGTGCATCTTATCGGGAATTGCCATTTCTTCAAATATAAATAAAGTATCGAACTCTTAGTTTGATCATTTCCTTTCCCTTCTTCTCATAAACAGCTGATCCATTCACCAAAACTATTTGAATCAATTAGCAATTAAGAAGAGGAATTTTTTGTAATAATAATGCAATTCATTGATTGTTCTACGATCCATTAAAAATTGTTCCATTGTTAATTTTTAACTTTTTTTTATATTTCAATGAATATAAACAAATCAATGAAGCATGTGGAAATTATACGATTGATAAACTGTCAAGTGGGGTTCTTGAAAAATTTTAAAAAGACATAAATTATGCAAAGAAAATCGCCAATAATAATGGACATCATCGAATGGTTTTAAATTTCGAATTTGTTGTGCTTCGATTATATTTTTTTTACTAAATTTATAACGCCTTTAGACAATTAAAAAGATGGTTTTTATCAAAAGTATCAATTTGACATTGAATCTGTTAATGATCAAATGATTGTAAATAAGGCGCTTATGACTTTGAATAGGCATTACGTGACATACTATCCGAAACGTTGAAATTATTCAACATTAAAAATGTAAACTACAAAGATAAAAAGCGAAAAATCACCTAAACCAACAGAAATAGATGCAATCATGTGACCGATTTTTGAAGGTTGTGCCCTCCAAAAAATTTAGAACGAGTGCGTAAATCATCCGTAACATTTTCCCCCACCTCCAGAAACCTCTTTAAAAATACAGAAATTAAAAAAATACTGAATTCGCACAAACGATAATTTTCATCATCTAGACAAAATCCACGAAAAAGCACTCTTTCCAAATAATTAACAGGTGTCATATAAAAAAGAATTAATAACAAAAATATTATACATGAAAGATAAATGAACTTCCAACAGACGCTCCAATGGAAAATTCCAAATAGTGCCTCCCCTTTTAGTCTAGAGTACACCTGACGCCCTTCAAACACCCCAAGAGAATCAGACAATCTCGAATTTCACTGCCAATACTTTTTTACCAAAAAATAGATAACGATAATTTAATCCTCAATCTGGAATACACGAATGAAACTGCAAATAAACGATAAAAAAATATCGAGATATATTTTGTTGCAATGTAAATAGAAGGTTCGAGAAGAAAGGGACTACAGAGCACTATAGAAATTGTTAAATGTAGATTGAATAATTTGGAAGAGTTTGATCATAAATGGAATAAATTGTTTAGGGTTTAATTTGGAATAAAATATAATTTAGAATAAAATATAATTTGGAATAAAATATAATTTGGAATTGTTTTTACTCACTTCTGACTGTTGGCGACGAGCGCCTGTCGGCAGAGGCTCAACATCCTGGTGTTTATGAATTTAGATAACTAGGGTATATCTACTGATGAGGTGAAGCCCTGGAATGATGATTGGGAAGATTTTTGACGTGAACGATATGTTTTCGAAGGTGGAGTGTGGAAGAATTGGAGGAATTGGGTGGACCGATACGATTCGTCACGGAAAACACGTCGGCCATCATCGGAGTACATCGGGGACTGAGTGGCCCGGTGCCAATGGGCAATCGCATCTCTTATTTTTTTCTCTTTTACTCCTTTCTCCTTTTCTCCTTTTCATTCACAACGGCAGTCATGACGCATTACCCACGTGCTACTCCAAATCTCCATCTGATATTTTTCTCTAATTTTACACTATTAAAAAATCACTGCAATTTCCTGGGGTGGTAATGGCATGTAAATTTCTCCTTACGTCAGTTTTTATTCATTTATCTTGAAAATTCGAGATATTTTGGGTTTTGGGTAAAACGAGGATTGATTTTGGAATTTTTCATTTTTGATTGCGTCATTTTTTCATTATTGACACAGTGTTATCTCAATATAAATCACTACATTCACAGAGTAAGTCATAATTAGACCACAAATAATCAGCTCAAGATCTTCTGCAAATCTCAACTAACAACGTGTTTGATTATCCAATATTTGATGGAGAACCTTCTCATTTTTCACTAAATGAAAATTGACTCGAATTGGGTTGATTCTGAGCCAAGTCTTGTTCGAATTAAATCAGTGAAAAATTGTCAAGCAGAAAACATTCAACGGAAAATCCCTCAGATAATAAAATAAAAATGTGGAAAATTTTCTTTAACCCACGTCCTGGCTGAGGTATATTCTCAAAAAGAGTAGTAACTGAAAAAAATGTACTCCACAAGCATCTCGTTCCTGTTAAAAAGAGAAAAAAAACTCTTTATTAATTTTATGTACAACATTTACTTGGAGCCATTACTGTAAATTCATCTCCTGAAATGAAAATGTTTCCTCAATTCTCCTCTTGCTGCATTTGCAGTTCCCTCAACAACTGCGCTCTCTGCTTCTCTAATTCATCCTCCGAGAGTTCATGGTGTTCTCCATTATCGTGAATTGATCCTTCAGAGTGTCCAGAAGGTCTACGATGTTTCTCCTCCTTCTTTTTCCTGTCTGGAGAGTCCTCAGATGATGGTAAACGTGAATGCGACCGCTAGAAGATAAAAAAAAACACTCGATAACCAGTTCTCGTGAATGAATAAATATTATTAATATTATAAATATTTACCGAATGACTTCTGCCACGCTTTTTCTTACTCTTCTTTCTCTTAGTCTTTTTACTCTCGGACTCTGAGCTCTCTGATTTACTCAAGGGACTGAGGGATCGTGACTTATGCCTTTTTTTCTTTCCCTTATCACTGACATCAGACTCAGGCTGTAACAAAAACAACAGATATTCAATAAAAATAATTTCTTAAGCGATCTTCCCTATAAAATACGGGACCACTAATACTGCATATTTATTAAAATCTCGAAATATTAAATTAAGCCCCTCGGCCCCAATGCAGATCCGAATTGATTCGATAAAGAAATAAGAATAAACTTACACTGTGGCTCCTGGACCTGGACTTCCTCTTCCCTTTCTTCCCTTTCTTCTTTTTACTCCTAATGTGATGATGTCCACAACTCTCCTCGAGATCATGCTGATACTCCTTGAAAATGCGGACTTTCTCACTCTCCAAAGTAATCGCCTTGAAGTCGGCTTCCTCTTCAAGCTTAGCTCTGACCTCTTCCCAGTCCATCTGATAATCAACCTCAATATTCTTCAAAAGTCCCTTAAAAGCCCCCTCGAGCTTCTTAAACTTCCTCGTCTCCTCTTTGACTCTCTCCTTTTCCCTGGCCTCAGCCTTCTCCAGCAGTAAATTATAAGTGAGCTTAACATTGCCTGCGTCAAGAGTCGCCGATTTTCTATCCTCACAAACAACAGTGGCAAAAGCTTCAAACGTCGTATTAACCTGGACCTCAAAGTTTTTATCCTTGAGAATCTCCCTGATGATTTTCTTCTCATCATGGAACCTAGACTTCAAATCCTCAACGTAAAACTTGAAGAGATCAAGTGGAGTGGATCCAGGCTGTCCCAACATAGCAGAAAACCTGAGATCTGCACTGAGCATTGGATAAAGTTCAACCCACAGTGACATAGACGTTAATTTTCCCTGTTCATGAAGTTCATCAAGGAGCGATATGAATCCATCCCTGTTCTTTCTCTCCTGTCTCTTCCTCCTTTTCTTCTCCCGCTCCTTCTCCTCCTCCTCGTCCTTCTCAAGCTGTCTAATATGATTCTCAAAAACAAGAAGAGCATCCTCTTTATCCATTTCCAGAAGGTCAGCATCCTCAGCAAAACCCGAGTGCTGAAGCAGAAGAGACTGTGCCTCCTGCCAGGTTGTCCTATACGTGACATCAGTCATGGTATCAAGAACCTGGGCCAGCCTCTTGGTATTCCTTTTCTTCAGGAGCTTCATCTCCTCCTTTTCCCTTTTAGCCAGGTTGAAGATAACATCTTCATAGATATCCCTCCTGTCGGAGTCCCCAACAGCTTTCCATATCTCAAGATTAGCATAAATTTCCTCACACTTGTAATACTTTGTTGTGCTAGTCATCCTCTCGTGATTAAGAAGAAATTGCTCGAGATCCTCCTTGGCTTTTTTCAACCTGAGTCTCTCTGTTTCCTTCTCCTCCTTGAGCTTCTGAGTTTTGTAAGCATTGAACGCTTGCTTTCGCTCATTGAGCTTCTTCATTGAAGGATATCTTGGATCACTGGATATCATCTTGACAGCTTGCTCCCAAGTGGCATTGGACGGCACATCGCGTTCCTTCAACAACTCCTTGAACGCCTCAATGGCTTCCTTTTTATCCTTAAACTGGACCTTTGGCTCTGGGGTTGATGTTCTGCTTCCATTGGCGGAACCCTTCGCCGAGTTGCTGTCATCATCAGGTTTTGCTGGTGGTGTTGGAATATTAATAGCAGCTAATGTTGCCGCCATCGCCTGCTCAATGGCGGATTTACCGGAATTTGTGGATTCGGGGGTTCCCACGACATTCGGCGATGAGTGCTGGATTAATTGAGATATACCACCGGTATTGGTGGCACTTGCCACAGCAACAGCTGCTGCTGCTGCCGCCTCTTCAGCTAGGATACGGTTTTTCAACTCCTCGAGCTCTGGAGGAATCGTCCAACGGGATTCCTTGGAGGTTACGTTGTGGTAATAGACTTTGCCGTTTTCCGATTTATACTCTTTCCAGGGGCACTGGGAGAGCAGCAGTTCGGAGGGAGTTTTTAATTCGTCGGGCTTTTCCCAGAGAGATTGCTTTGTCGTTGAGTTGTAGTAGTAGGTACGACCATCCGGCGCTTTGTGCTCTGTCCAGTCAGATTTTTTATCCGTGGGAGAGGTCGAGGGAGCCGGTGTTGGTGTCGAGGGGTTTGTCAGAGGGTGGGGAGATGGATTTGGAACGGGGGATGAGGGATCCGATGGCGGGAGGGTTGGTAGGGCTGGCGCTGTTATCTGTGGTGGAGCCGCTGAAAAATTATCAGAGAATTCAGACAACTTGAAATTATAGAGTTAGATATATCCAGAGAGAAAGAAAGAAAGAGAGAAAGAGACATACCATAGTCTGTGATAAAACGATAAAACCCATTAAGAATTATTCCATTCCGAATTTTCAAGACTTTTCTTTATTTAAACAAATATTAACACATAAATTAAGTATTCAGAAATTAATCGATTGATAGACAAAATGGGATTATTCAAAAATAAAAAAATTCTTAATAATGCAAACTAAATTGTTAATAATAATGGACATCATTGAGTATGTTTGGAATTCTGAATCGTCTCACCCATGTTTTTTATACTAAATCTATTATTTCGTCAAACAATGAAAAGAAAATATTTCCTTTTAAAATCATGAATTTGTGTTTCAATTTTATGATAATTAAATGATTCTCAGCAAGTCGTTTATCATTTTAGATCGTTATTATAGAAAGACCTTCAGCTGTCTTAATTTCTATTACAATAATTTAAATAATAACACGTTCAGATTACCCACCACTGCTCTATTATAAATTCCCGAACTGATGTTCTATTCAATTGAGATGAAAAGGTTTTTCTCAATATATACTATTTGTTTTTAACTGAATTCGTATTTCTGTTTTTTCGAACAAATATTCATCTACTGAGTATTTTTTTGAAGAAATATCTTTGAAGAAATTAATTTTCTGTTGGAGAAATGTCTCCGTAGTACGCGAGTTTAGGAGAAAATGTGAATGAATACTTTGAATTACGAAGTTTTTAGGTTTAAATCTCCTTCTCAGTTTCAATGAGCATCCATTTTACCCCATGTGTCCATATAATCTCACGATTTCTTATACTTATAATTTTCAAAAGCTCAGGTTCAGATTGAAGTGAAATCTCTTTTAATAATTTTCAATTTTTCAATCGAGTTTTTATTCCAATTATCAGAAAACAAAGACCCATCTACTGAAGAATTCTTCAAGATGATCATCCAATATAATTAGGCTGGAGATGACCTAATTAAACGAATTTTAATGGGACTATCGCAAAAATGTGGTTTGAGGCGAAAATGTGAATATTTTCATTAAGCCAGTAAATGGACGTCCATTTTATCCCGGGTTTCCATATTACTGCAGTATTTTCTGTATAATTTTCATAGACTCACCAATGACTCCAGGCTCTGGTGGACCCCCAGCAGCCATAGGATATCCAAATCCAGGTGGAGGTATGGAAAACTGAGGAGGCATCATTCCAGGTGGTCCTGGGGGCATTCCAGGTGGTGGAATGAATGGTCCTGTCCCCATCATCGGTGGGCCATACCCTGGAGGCATACTAGGAGCTGCTGGAGGATAACCTGGTACTGCTGGCGATGGAATTCCATCATTCGATGCCTTAAAGTCCACATATTGAGGTTATAAAATTCGAAGATTAAAAATTTATGATTTTAGACATATCCTAAGTTTTTCGAATTGTGGTAATGATCACTTACCATTTTATTTATCTGTTATTGGTGATATTACTTCGATCAATTCATTGGGAATTGGTTTTTCGGAAATTTTTTGAGGACTCGAGGGCTCAGATTTGGCGTTCTTGCCGGCGTTGTTGTTTGATGACATCGACCAATGACATCACTTGGTATTTTCCAAAGTGTCTCCACCTATTGTCATCACTTGGACATTGAAAAATCTCCAACACCCGATGAAGGTGTGACGTCAGCCGTCAATCATACAACAATTTGCCCCGTCTAAAATTCAATAATCCTCATTAAAAATAGTAATTATACCGCTGGATGCCCCCAAAAAGCGTAAACCCCCGATTCCCAGAGATCCAGTGAATTGAAGGATGATAATCTCATGAGAATTCCATTAATTGTCCCTGGGTCGGTGTTATAATCAACGGGGAAAAAGAGGTTGGAGGTGGTGATTGAGTCTCAAACTCCAAACACGTCAACACGGAAGCTGCTATCTCCTATCATTGAGGAAGTATTGTTTGATAAAGGACGTGAAAATGTTCAAAAAATTCAAGGATAAACTTGCCGAGGAGATGAAACAGTCCCCGGCTAGATTGCAGGCTAGTATGCAGCAATTGGCACAGGCTGTGGTATCACCATCAGTTTCCAACACCTCCATCCAGAGTCTCTCAGTCTCGAACGACAACTTCTCCTTGACAGAGGAGGGAGATGAGACACCGAAAAACAGCCCAAGCCACCAGGGATTCCAGAGTGTTGATCTAACGTCCCCCAATTCTCTGGGACTCTCAAGACATTCCTCAGTGTCATCAGTAACGAGTGGAGACACATCCTCCCTTTTTCCTATTTACGAGGGCACCCCCAGTACGTATCATCTCCAATCAGACATGGATCAGTCAGCGAGTGAAGCAGACGATAACATTCCGCCAAACCTCGAGAGAGTTACCAAGGAGCAAGTTTACAGTGCCTACAGAAAGGTTCAGACTAAGTACCACAAATACAGAGGAAGGTACACAGACCTTGCAACTCACTACAGGGAAATGGAAAGGGTGAAAAGCAAATTGGAGAGTCTCCTGGTGGAGACACAGGACAAAGCTCTAAGGAGGATTGCAGATCTGAAGGAGCAGTGCCAGCTGGAGCAACAGGCAAAAGCTCACCTTGAAGAGGCCCTCAGGAATGATATCGAGGAGAAGGATCACGTCATTGGAACACTCAACACAAAGGTAAAAATTCAGAGAATATGGCAAAATCTAGTACTGGTATCGCTAATGGAATAATAAAATTCTTCATCAGTAATCGCTGAGGTCATCTAATTCTGCGATGTAATTCTATGATGTCTCAATGAAAAATAAATATATCACTAACTGAAATAGTTTTCAAATCAGTAATTTTAATATGATAAATTTCTATAAAAAAAAATAGAATTTCGAATGTCAAATTGATTCACTATAATAAATTGATTGTCTCCTTAAGATCAGAGAATATTTCACAATATCAATAAATATTAAAAAACAAAGATCATATATTACTGTTAATGTGTGTTAAAAGATCTTTACTTATTTGTAAATGACTTCTGAAAAATCTTCAGATGTCTTCTTCGATTGTAAACATCATATTATCTATTATTGTTATTATTATAAATAATTATTGTTTAAAAACTAACGATTGCGCCTGCCACGGGCAGGTGATGCTCTTGCAGGCCACCACTCCAGCCCAATCGTCAGACCTCTTGGTAGATCTTTCTCCGCCTCCAGAAGAGCCTCCAACCCCTGAAACCTTGACCCCCAAGGCTAAATTTGAAAAGCTTGAGGCACTCCTCCGCAAGTGCAAGGAATCTTTGAAAAAATCCAAGGATAAGCTGCTGGAGGTGACGGAGGAGAAAAACATTTTGGAACGGGATTTTGAAACCCTGAAGAACTCCAACGAAGAAAAGTTTCGCCTCCTCGAGGACGATTTAACCATCTCCAGACAGGAGATCAACAACCTGAGGGATCAACTCAATAATCTAAAGACGAGAGAGGAAGAGTCGGCTATTTCTCTCGCCGAAAATAAACTCTCAATTCACAGAGAACTGGAAGTGAAAGAAGAGCAGATCAAACAGTTGAATGAAGAGTTGGATAAAGTGAAGTTGAAGAAAAGTGAAGGGGTAAAGGAAGTCCAAAAGGAAATGCAGGGTAAATTAATCGAACTGGAGACGAGAATGGGAAGTAAATACCACGAGGAAGTTGAGAAAAATAAAAAACTCACAGAGAAAATTGAAGTTTTGCAAAATGAGAGCGAGAAAAATGAGAAATCCCAAGAGGAATTGGAAAAATTGAGGGAAGAAATTGATTTCTTGCTGAAGGAGAAGGAAAGAAATGAGAAATTAGAGGAACAGTTGGAAAAATTGAGAGAAAAAATCGACTTTTTCCAGAAAGAAAAGGAAAGAAATGAAAAATTGGAAGAGGAATTTGAAAAGTTGAGGGAGAAAATAAAGATTTTGCAGAAGGAGAACGAAAAAATACCAGAATCGGATGAGAAGTCGAAAGAATTGAAAGAGAAAATGGAATGTATGCGAAAGGAGAACGAAAAAATTCCTAAATTAGAAGAACAGCTGTCGAAGGCTCGAGAAACTCTCGAACAATTGTCCAAAACCGATGATAAATCTTTTAAAGACGAATTAATTCAGACTCTGAACTCGAAAATTCAGATTTATGCTACAGCTGTGCAGAAAGCTAAAGAGAAAATCGATTCTCAAAATTTGAAGATTAGGGAATTGTCGGAGGATTCTAAAGCAGAAGAACTAGAAGAAAAGAATCTGGAGATTCTGGGAATTAGGAGTGAGTTGAAATCCTGTAAATCGACTATAGGTGATCTCAAGGAGCAGGTGAAGAGGACCTCTGAAGAGGCAGCGCAGCTGAAGAGAGAGAAAAATTGTTTGATTGCGAATATTTTGGATTATCAAAAGAGGATTCGAGAATTAAGGGACACTTGCGAGAGCATTAAGAAAGATATTAATGAATTCAGAATAAGGGAGGCAATTCTAGAAGTAGAAAAGATGTTGAGTGACAAAATTAATGGGATGAAGAGTGTTGAGAGAAATTCAGAGGCAAAAAATGAAGAAATGAAGGAGCAAATGCGTCAGAAATGTATAGAAATTGATGCACTGAGGGGTCAAGTTGAAAGTTTTAAGGAAATTGTAACGCAGAATGGAGAATTGAAAGGAGAATTTCAACGAAAATCTTTGGAAATTGAAGACTTGAAAGAACAGATTAAGAATTTGGAGGTTCTGTCGAAAACAAATGGTGAATTATCTTTAGAAGTTGAAGAGTTGAAAGAACAACTTTTAAATTTGGATAGCACTCGACAGAAACATGAAGAATTAAACGATGAAGTTCAACGAAAATGTTTAGAAATTAAGGAATTGAGGGAAAGAACTGAGAATTTTGAAGAAATCTCAAGGACAAATGAAGAATTGACTCTAGAAATTGAAGAATTGAAGAAAAAAATTGCGGATTTCGATGAAATTCGACAGAATGAAAATGAAAAAATGGCAGGCGAAATTCATCGAAAATCTTTTGAAATTGAGGAATTGAGAGGTAAAACCCAGAATTTGGAAGAAGTTTCACAGATAAATGGAGAATTATCTTTAGAAATTGAGAAAATGAAACAAAAACTTGAGAATTTCGATGGAATTTTACAGAAAAATGAAAAATTATCATCAGAAATTCAGCAACAGCATTCAAAAAATGAAGAACTGATAGAAAAACTCAAGGATTTTGATGAGATTCGACAAAGAAATGAAGAATTGTCGTCGGAAATCCATCAAAAGTCTTCGGAAATTTCGCAGTTGATGTCAAAAACCGAGCATTTCGATGAAATTTCCTTTAAAAGCAGTGAATTAACAGCTGAAATACAAAAACTTAATTCAGAAATCACCCAAAAGGACCTACAGGTTTCCGAAATGCTGCAAAAAGTCCAGGGCTTTGACGAGATCTCACAAAAGAACAACGAACTCATCACAGAGATAGATAATTTAAATTCCAAGATATCCGATCTCTCAAAATTACATGAAGAAGTATCCGAATTCAGGAACAAATCAGAAACTCTAGAATTGGAAAATAATAGACTGATGGATGAAATCTCTCAAAGAACCAAAAACGAACAGATCATAAATACTCAAATGATGAATATGAGATCAGAAATGTCCAAAAATGAAGAGACAATCCACGAAAAATCGTCAGGACTCGATGACCTCCAGCAAAAATATTCATCTCAGCACAAGGAATTATCGAATCTTAAAATTCAATTTGTCGATCTCCAGAAGCTGATGGAAGATAGCCAAGAGGAATCCAATCGCCTCAAAGAAGAAATCTCCAACAACCAAGAGCGCCTGGTAACTTACCAGGAAGAAAAAGCGCAGCTGGAGGAAAAACTCCAACACCTGGAGGAGAATCTGAGGATAAAATCCCAAGAACTGTCTTCACTGTCATCAGAAAATTCCTCCAACATGCAGCAACGGAAAACGGAAGAAGAAAATCACGTGAAGACTATGGAAAAATTGAAACAAACCGAGGACAGAATACCATTAATCGTTGCTGACCTCGAATCTACCAAAGAGCAGCTCCGAGAAGCTCAGGAGAGTCTTCAGAAGGTTCGGGAGGACCACTCCACCTTGAAGGACAGCCTCATATCGAAGACCGAACTAATAGAAAAGCTAAAAATCCTCAAAAATAAACAAACGAAGGCAATCCAGGATCTAGAGTCGAAAAACGAAGCCCTGAAGACCTCTTCCAACATCTCCAAGACTCAACAGGAAGATCTCATCGAACTCCAGCAGAAATTATCTCAGTTGTCTTCTGAAAACTCCGAATTATCCTCAAAACTCTCGGCTCTAGAAGCCGAAAGGCCTGAAATTGAAAGCCAACGTCAGGAGGTTCTTCTCCTGAAGGAAAAGCTCTCGAGTGTCCAGGCGGAGTCCGATGACTATCAAGGGGAGATAAAATCCCTGAAGGAAGCCCAAAACGAATATCTGCAGAAAGAAGAGAGTCATAGAAATAAGGTGAAAAATCTTGAGGATTTGAAATCTACGCTTGAATCAGAGATATCCAGGATTAAAGGAGACCTTGAGGACCAGCAGACGACGTTTAGATCAAAATTGGAAGAGGAAGAGAGACGCCACCAGGAGGAAGTGAAAAAAGTGGAGGACGAGAGGGAGAGAATTCGCACGGAGAACCAATTAGTAATTGATGAATATGTGAAGAAGCTAACAGAGAAGGACGTGGAGATCAAGGAGCTGCTGGAGAAAGAGTCGTGGACCAGTCAGCTATTGGAGGAGTTGAAGAAGAGATCGGAGAGACTCGAGGGGATCGAACAGGCTCAAAACCAGGGAAATTCAACGGGACAATTGTCAGTGAGAATGAGGAGCGACGAGGAGAGGCTGGAGGACGAGAGGCTTCATAAATTAATCGAAGAGCTCCAGGGACAGCTCCAGGCCATGGAGTCCAAGCTGATCACTTCTCAGGCCAAGGAATCACAGTTGGAAATTCTTACTGATGAGTTGAAGAAAGAAGTTGAGAGGTTGAAGGGGTTGATAGGGACAGCTGAGGAGGAGAATGCCGTCAGGATGGCGCAGCTAGTTAAAGAATTTCAGGCTCAACTGCAGGACAAAGATGGGGAGATCCAGGCAGCCCTGGGCAAGAATTTTGAGAGGCAACAGGGATATGAATCAGAACTCGTGCAGCAGTACAAAGAGCAGCTCAAGGACTTTCAGGTTGAGCTCACTGCCAAGAGCGAGGAGATCGAGAGCCTCAGGGGGAGGGATAAGGAGGTCCAGAGGCTTGTGGAAACCATCAGCAGTATTAAAAGGGAGCATGCCAATGAAGTGAAAGAAGTGGAGAGGAAATGGAGGAATATGAAGGTCAAGAGCGAACAACTCGAGGGCATGGAAAAGGAGTGGCAAAGGGACAAATTTGTGAGTTCTCTCTTTTCTTTTTATTTAGTCTATATATTTTGTTTTTATATTTACGTAGTATAGTTTTCTTTTACCATTTAGTTCTAGATTTTTTGAATATTTTTGTTTTTAGTTAAATATGTCCTTTTTAAATTGCTTTTTTTAGGCTTTTTGTTGATTTTTTCTTTCATTTCTTGGTTTCAGAATGAGGATAATGTAGAGGAAAAGGAAGAGGTAATTAATCTGATTGATTTTCTCATTATTTAGTTGGTTTTGCTAGTCTGATTTGCACTTTACCTTGCTTTTGCAATTTTGCTCCTTGCGCACACAAAATTATCTTCACTGTTTTTGCGTTTTGTTATTATTTCATGACTCACGATGTTTTAAGGCGGTGCAAACATTTTTCTTAATTTTTTCTAAGCTTTCAAAAGAATTACAAAACTAGAAATAGATAAAACGCATGAAAAGTGTCGCACTGCCTTGGAACTTAAAAATAACGTCACATTTGGCTAAAATGTCGAACATTCTCAATTGCTAATTCCTCAATTTAATTTAAAACCCGTATATTATCCCACACTCTTCTCTATATCTGTTATAATACTTAAAAGGATTCATGCATTTCGAGCTGGTATAACAAAACAGGAAATCTTATGTTTGAGAAAATGATGCCTGTGCCGTGCAGACCTAGAGGATTAACAAATTTCATAAATTTTTATTGATTTATCTATTTCAGGAATTAGAAAATATGTCGAGAGTGGCAATGGCTGCTGTACAATCCAATACAGGATCATTCCATTCTCTCCAGCAGACTCTAGTTTCCCAGAGGCGAGAACTGGCAGAACTTCGAAAAATCGTAAAATTAAGGCACGATGCATTGGAGGACTCGACGGAGATTGAGTACCTCAGGAATATCCTGTACGAGTACATGATGGGTCGAGAGACTCTGGTTCTTGCACGAGTGATAGCTGCCGTCGTCAAATTCGATCAAGAGCAGACCAATAAAATACTTAAAAAGGAAGAGGATAAATTAACGCTTTTGGGATCTTTGGGGTTGTCTTAAGACAATCAGATTCTCTCTACATGATGAATCGATGGGACACCACTGATACCAAACTGCCAGAGGAAATCGTGGTCCAGAAAATAAAATGTGGTGAAAGGAGATCATTTTGAGGATTCATCCCTTCTTTACTTCTCTGTCTCTGAAATGATTCAGTCTACGGGGCAATATCTGCGAAAAGTTGATGGATCTTTAGAAATTTTCTTTTGACACTGAGAAAAATACGAGCAGGTACTCGAATTAATCTAGTTGCAATCAAACAAATCGTGAAACATTATCAAAAAATAATTTGGGCAATTCAAATTAAGACGTCGCAAATACGAATAATGACTTCATCTTCAATGTAACGGAGTATTCAATATCAAACGTGAATCATTCATTTGAGATAACATATTTCCATCTTTGTTTATGAAATGGTGGGAAATAACTACTCCTGTCACATATCTATCTGGACTGAACCTATTTGTTGTAAGAAATAATCTTAATCTCAGTACAGGCTCTAAATGATTACCACCAGATTTGTTTTTTGGTCATTTTCAGTGAATAATTTGTTTGTTTCAACGAGATTTTTTCAAGAATTTACTGATTTTTTGCCTCAGTCTACCGCTAGATTAACGAATTAATAAAGTGTAAAGGCCGGAATTTAGCTAGTGATTGATCAACCGACATCTCCAGTGCTGCAATTAATTAATTAACTTCATTTATTGTATTGTTAATTTATGTTGAATGTTTATGTAAATATCGCGAGATATCGTTTTTTATGGAGATTTATTGTGCTCTTGCTTATAAATATTGTGGATTGGCGGAGAATGTAACTCATTAAAATACGAAGAATACCTGATTCATTTATATTCTCCTTATTTTAATTGATGAACTACAAGTTATCCCTTCAAACACTAGCAAAAAAAATCTAAAAAACACTGTAAATATGTAAACCTGTAATTGTACAACAATTTTAATTAAAAAATCAAAAGCCTTATATATATAATTCTTCTAATTAACAGCATTTCCCACGATTTCCTCGACTTTCTCCACTTCACTCATCTGACTCTTTTCCTTGAGCTTTTTCTCTAAGAATTCTTTTCGATGAGTGATGGGTAGGTGTTTCTGTCTGAAGAGGAAAGTCTCATCTCCGTCGGTGTTGAAAGTCTTCGCTCCCTGGGGCCCACCCAACGTTTTTAGGGCTTTATTTCGTTGCAGAATCTTATCGTAATACTCGATGCCACCTCTTATGTAATTATCTCCTAATTGAGCTAGATGTTCATCAGCCCGAGACTCGTAGAACCTGCCATTGCAATCGAGAAAGATTGTTTATCAAAACTCGCAAGTATTTACAAAAAAAAATATTCATTTAAGGCTCGGGTGGATTATCTAGAAAAGATAATTTACTCCGAAATTCGGATTCCTAATTACTTTGGCAATTAATCGTTTTTTTTTTCAATAATTGTTGGCTAGCGTTGTAGCGGTTGTCAACAACTATACCGCTAGCTAATAATTATCATAAAAAAACGATTAATTAACGGAGTAATTAGAAGTCCCAATTTTGGAGTAAATTATCTTTTCCAGACAGTCCATCCGGGCCTTAAGACCCGCATGTACTATCTATAAATTGTAAATATTTTATAAAAACAACATAAAATTCAAACCAAAGATTGCAATAGTTCAATAAGTTCAATAAGTAGTGCATGCGTATCTTAACTATGAGATAAAACTCTTCCTTTTTTCTTGATAAGACTTATTTTCAAAAAACTTGTCAAGTAATATTCCCAGATTTCTTTCAATAACAACTATTTAAAAAATGATCTAATAGATGATTGTTGAAAAGAATAATATATGGCAGAACCTATGATAAATTTAATATCAAGTGATATCGATAAATAGAGCTAATTTATGTGTATAGTTTTGTAAAAATTCATGAGATTTCATTCAGACTATATATTGAGAGAAAATTGAAAAATATTACATACACATACGCATATATAATTACATAGACGCATCTAAAAATCGTATACTAACACTTATGAAGTCATATTTAGCGACATAGAAAAGGAAAAGGGAAATTTGAATAACTGGGAAGCTTCTATTGAGAATAACAAAAGATGATGGTTGGAAAATTTCTCTGTAAAATAGATTCTCCAACAAACAAATGATTTCATCATTCAACTTCCGTAAATTACCTGATTAGTGAATCCTTTTGCATGCACCAGACGCCCCAGAAAAACAAGCAACTCAGTGTATAAAGTATTACTCTGAGCGCTCTGGGCCTCGTATAGAGATCCAGAGACGCGTTAGCTTTGGAAGTGAATCCATAGCATCCAGCAGTTAACATCCCTGAGTTGATCGAGTGCCACAAAATTTGGTTACTCTTCGTCATGAGGACTTCCCTAGCCATGGCGTATTTCTTGGCATCGTCTGAGAGGATAAGAGACTCCAGCAACTGTTTGGCATCCTCTCTGTTCCAGTTTATCGGCTCTTCATTCATGAATATGTCATTCTTTTTGACTGCCGAGGTTGAGTCATAGGTGAAATTAATTGGGAATCCGATGTAAGTGCCCGTGCGAGCGGACAGAGAGCCCATGTGATAAACGTCAAAGCCGAAGACCATGAACGACTTCGAGAGTAATCGGTAGTAATCGTCGAAGGAGAGATCGTCCAGAACTGACGAAAACAGTGACTGAAGCTTTGGGGGGACTTCGAAGGGGTCATTATTCCTGAAATATTATAAATAATTTCACGGTGAATGATATTTGTACTGGAACAATACACATTTTCAATTAGATAATTAGAAAAAAAGAATGAATGCGGTATTGAATGAATTCTTGAATTGGTGAGTTGGAGTTTTTAAAAAAGAAAAATCTGACTTTTCATGGAAAAAAATTACAAACAATATGTTCACCCTCACTGATGAATGATTACATCAGCTTGGAGGATAATTTATGCAGCGATTGGTTGGAAACTCATTTCCTAATAATATGAATAATTTGAAAAGTTTGATTGAGTTGAAAAAAATATTAAATTCAATTAATGAGTCACAGGAAGTCTGATATAACTTTTTAAACGCGATACTCATGCATACATACAAAATCCATGTGAATATATATATTTGGGATTTTAGAGCAACGTCAGTAATATCAACGAGAATATTTCTAAACTTCAATTTAAACAATCTACTTAAGACGTTTTCGACTCTCCTAAAGTTCAAACTTTGAAAATTCACGGTGATGTCCCGTTAAACTCAAAACAGAAAAATGATTCTCTCACTTTCTCATTGCAACCAAATCACGATATTGGTTCAACATAAATGTGTGCGGTAAATATGTTGCGAGGGAGGTTGTAACACAAGCCGCAGTGGCTGATACAGCCACAAATGTTCTTCCTGTGCGTGTCAAAAACCATGCTAATCGGCTCGCCATGGTTACGTCTTCTTCTGAAAATGTGGAACAGTAAGAAATTATCCAACAGGAAAGATGAGTGATTACAGATAATTCTCCATGATTTTTCAAAGGGTTTGAATTATAATTACCTGAGATATTCCCGTCGTCTCCACAGTTTTTGACTAACTGTCAATTCCTGTCAATTATTCGGCAATTCGAGCTTTTTTACAATGGACCGGTCATTATTGTTAATGCCAGCAGGAGAACCGGGGGAAATTAGCCGCGAGGTTAGGTTTAACCTTTCGGTAAGGAAGAGGTCGTCATTGGTTTAAAATGTTCTAAATAGAACCTGGGGCAATGTAGATATCCCAGGGTAAGACGGACGAAAAAAAGTTGGAAAAAAAAGAAAGATGAAACATAACATGAAAAGAGTGGAATTAATCTAAATTAGGTCCATAATTAGGACTGTAGCGCTCAATATGAATCACAACATATATCGATACGAGTCGACGTGAGTTGATTTTTTCTTCATTAAATCCCGTAAAAAAAAATAATTTGCATATCAATGCAACAATAAAAATTCACTGAAAAGATCTCTCAATTTTTTCCGCTCTATTTTTAAATTTCCGTCTTTTCCGCAATTCTTTGATCGATCCTCACGATAAAAATTGAACAGCAATAATCGAGTACTGAACGAGAATTGATTACTTGGATTCGAAAAGAAATGAAAGACCCCTTCCAATGATTCCAGTTGATCCCAAACAATTCAGTTTTAAACTTCAAAGGCGCTCGAAAAGATAGAATCATTTTGAAAAATGAAAAAGACGACTGGGAAGACTAAAATTCTTTATTTTACAGCAGAAAATGATGAAAACATAAATAGTCTCAGTTAAAATTAACATTAATAGTCAATGTAAATATTCGTAAGAATTGTTTTAATATGTATTTATTATTTACTGTACAAAATTTTCATTACTCTCATACCACAGAAATAGTCCCGAAATGTTACAATATTTTTCACTTTCTCCCATGAATTTTCATGTCGACGGATAGATGAGTCGGAAAAACTGTGGACAGCTCGAAAACTATCGATATTATATATCGGAAAATGTAATTCAATTTTTAAGTGGGAAATTTAAATTTCCTACAAAAAATGTCTCGACATCTCTCCACAAAGCCCCTTTTAAAATATTCACGAAATAATGACAATCAATTTTTAAACACATCCCTTTCAAGGCCCTACGAGTATATCGTTATAAAAAAGCAGTGAAAATGATAAGAAAAAAAATCAAACTTACATAAACAGTACAAGAATTTGTAACCCTTCTGAAAGGATTAAATTTACTTGGAATTTGACAGCTAACAAATTAGAAGGCAAAATCCATCTTAACCATGACAGAGGGAGTGATCGAATTCCCAAAAATTATCCGTAAATATTGCCAAAATTTTTGAAAAGCAATCAACATTGTTGCACCCCAGAAGAAATACAGATCTCTTGTAATAAATTTAATGACGTATTTCAACTGATTTATTTACCTGTGAGATAATCAAAAATTTCACCGTTTCAAAAAATATTTATATGCACATATACTCGTGGGGTTTTAACCCAACTGCTTCGATTTTTCATCAACAAATCACGTCATACCTCTGGAAACTCCATCTCGGAGGATTCCCCCATGTATTTACGGCGACAAATGCCAACCAGATATTTTTTACTCATGATTTGTCATTTTCTATTTTTTTTTAATAATTCAATTTTATCCTATTCCCAGGAGTGAATTCACTTGAGTCTTCCCGTTACATGACGTTACCTGGAACATCTATAATCGATTGTGGTCTTTTTTCAGGATTAGCTGGTTCTGCTTTTGGTGTTTT